ACCAGAAAATTTGTGTGCTATGCTATTACAGTAGAATCCCTACTCAAGACCATCCATCCCGGAATTAAGACCACCATTTTTTAAAAGAAATTTATTTATCTCTCGTCAGATTGAATATTCTAACATACTTTTATATTGTAAGTTACATATTGTTTGTTCATACAACATAACTAAAATAGACCATGATCATAAAGTAAGTAAGCAATAAGAATATTCACAATTAAGACCACTCCGCAATTAAGACCACTTTGGATCAGTCCCGATAATGATCTTAATTGAGGTATTTTGTTGTTGTTGTTGTTTTTTTGTTTTTTTTTTGCTGTATTTAATAAATCTTTATAATATTTAAAAATATTAAATAGAAAATTCACAATCTTCCCAGCAATTGTATAACTAGGTTGACAATGACCTTGATTCTTTTCTTTTCCTTTTCCCCCCGTAGATTCTTGATTCGTTTCCTGTTCACATGAGCTTGATTTCTTGCCATCCATCAAGTTTACTTTTTTTACTATATTATATGAATGGCACATAGAATTTTGGGTATCAGTAAATATATCATCCTGAAGAAAATACTGTTTCCCAAGGCATTAGCAGAGTGTTACAGTATTTGTACGAAAGGTAATTTATTCTGTTACTCACAAAGCTATGTGTTATTTATTTTATTACCCCGCACAAACACTTCATTGTTTTTGGGGTTTTTTTTGTATTTGTTGCAAAATATAGCATTCATCTGCACGAAAACAGACTTTAAACTAGATTTTGCCATTCATGAAATGTGCATAAAAGTTTGCAAAAAGTTTTAGTTGGTCTTCAGAAATTTAGCACATTCAAAGTAAATATACTTATTGTTAACGTTTTTATTTTTGTTTATAATAATCCTTAAAACAGAGACATGGATGTGTATTTGCAAATTTTATCACATAAACCGCGGCGCAGGAGTGTAATAAAGCCATTTAATAAAAACGATATTACACTAGACGATATTACACTAGTGTAATATTAACACTTTGACGTCACGTCATTTGCGCTATAAACATAGCGTTAAAGCGCGCTAATGTTAGCGTTACGCTACAGGCGGGTCAAAGAAAAATGACTCTTGATAACAGTTTACCGTTCTTATTTTATAAATGTGATAAATAGAATATTATATTCGTGTAGATTCAATACTAAATTTATTGAACTCGTTGAATAAAACAATATTATGCTCGCCAGAGGCTCGCATAATATGATTTTATTCAACTCGTTCAATAAATTTAGTATTAAACCTACACTCATTAAATATCCTCTATGTTCATCATTGTACATTGTGAGCTTTGTGACACACTCAGTGAAAACAAACATGGCTGACAACGCTGAATCATCTTAACAGACAGAATAACTCCCATTGGCCTATGGGATTTTAACATTACAAAAATAGTGCGGGGTAATAGTAATGTCTGGTACTCACTACTAATTACTTGCAGCGTTGCAGCCTTCTCACTACTGTGCACTATTTCTTAAGTCCTGCCATTTTGATACAATAATTCCGAAGAAGGATTCCGAATAAAACCATACAGTAAACTGTTGGTGATAGCTGTAAACAAAATACATGTGGTTTTTTTTCCCCAAGCTAATCCTCCGGTACAGTCAAACTTTTACCATTAAAGCTTCACGGTGCACTAACGGTCACATTAAATTTGTCAATATGTGGCGCTTATTTTCGAAGCTGTTACTGTAAAAGTTTGTTTGCAACATTTATCTGGAAAAAAATATTCTTGATTCTAGAGTAAATCTTTTAGGCAATAAACTATAATGTAAAATGAAATGATAGTAAACAGATGGCTCTTGCACATGGACCAAAAAGGCAGTCGACATCAACTAGTTATAAGAAGGTAAATAGTTGACAGGAAACAGTTGACACTAAGCAGTTAGTCGATAAATATTTATAAGAAAGTAAACAAGAGACAGTGAGAAAGTAATAACATAGTGAACACTAGTCAAACAATATCAATAATCAGTTACACAGTAGGCAGTAATAAAATGATATAATTCAAAGTATAAGCAGTTAAAAGGTAATTAACATTAGGCAATATCATCAGATGAATTTGATGAACACTTCAAAAATTTATATTCTAATGAAGATCTTTTCAAAAACGACTTTGTTGAGGAAAGAATAAATAATATTGATATGGATTCTACCAATATTGAAGAGCTTGATGTTCAATTTACAAATGAGGACGTTGTTAGGGCAATTTCTTCTTTAAAAAGCGATAAGAGTGCGGGAGTAGATTTACTTAAATCCGAAATTTTTATACAATGTAAAAATATGCTAGCTCCTGTACTTTGTAAGTTATATATATCACTTTTTTGATACAGGTGAAAACCCGGAATCTTGGTGCAAGGGTATCATAGTTCCTGTGCCTAAAAAGGGGGATACTAATGATGTGAATAATTATAGAGGCATCACTCTGACCAGTGTATTTTCAAAACTATTTTCAATTATGCAAGATTTTTGTTTACGTGAATGTGCTAAAAGCAATCACGCGTTAAACGATTTTCAATTTGCGTTTAGAAACAATAAGAGCACTACTGACTGTATATTTGTAATGAGTTCTATAATCGATAGGATAATAAAACATGAAAAGAAAAAAATGTATGTTGCATTTATAGACTTTAAAAATGTTTTGACCTTTTGTATAGAAATTGGATTTGGTATAAATTGATTAAAATGGGAGTATTGAAATTTGTAATAATGTTACGTAGTATGTATACCAGTGTAAAGCCATGTGTAAGAGCAAATCGAAGATTGTCTGATTATTTCGATAGTTATATGGGTTTAAAACAAGGGGAGCCACTCTCTCTCTCTCTCTTATTTATATTTTTGCTTAATGATACTGTTGGCACTTTCACAATAGATGATATTCAAATATTTCTTTAATTATTTGCTGATGACACAGTGTTATTTTCTTATTCTAAAGAAGGACTACAACATCTTGTGAACAAATTGTATAATTATTGTAACAATTGGGGAAATGTTGTAATGTACATAAAGCTGTTGCTATGACCTTCAGAACCGGTAATCGAAATGATGATTTAGAGGTCTATTATAATTATGAACGTCTTAAAGTTGTTAAATCATTTACATATCTTGGTGTTACCTTGTCAATAAATGGGAATTTTTATTAAGCTCACAAATATTTATTCAACCAAGCATTAAAAGCATTGTTTTCGTTGAATTCTTTATTTGATTATATTTCCTTGAATTTATCCGAAAAGATTAGACTATTCGATACTATGAATTTTTTACCAATTTTGACTTATGGATCAGAGGTGTGGGGCTTTCATAACTCACCTGATATTGCTGAAGTTCACTTAAAATTCTTAAAACAAGTTTTAGGCGTTCGTCCACAAACATCAACTTCGGCAGTACTTGGTGAATTTGGCAGATTTCCTATGACAGTATATCGCAAAATTCGAATAATTAAATTTTGGTATAGAATTATGAAAGCCCCTGAAACTCTCCTTTTTAAAATTATGTTTATAAAAGATTCAAATGGTAATGTGACTAATTCATGGACAAAAAACGTTATGAAAATGTTGTCTGATTTAGGTTTTGGAAATTTATGGAACAATGCTAATGTTACAAGCATCCAATTAAATAATATTATACAGGATTTATAAAAAAATTATGATCAACAATTACAACAATGGTGTTCTGAGCTTAGTAGTTTTCCTAAATTATGTAGTTACAATTTATTTAAATTTAACTTTATTCATGAAAAGAACTTAGATGTTGTAAATAACATTAATCATCGTAAAGCATTATCAAGGTTTAGATGTTCATCACATAAATTGTTACTAGAAGAAGGAAGATAATTATAGAAAGGAATTTACGTATATGCACTAAATGCAATATGAATCAAATAGAAAAAGAATATCATTTCTTATTAGTTTGTCAATTCTATAGTGAATTGAGAGGTCAATGTTTTCCTCGGTATTATTGTGCTTGGCCGACCATTAATAAATTTATATCAATTATGCAATCTTCGCAAAAGAAAATAATTGTTAATTTAGCTAAGTTTATCTATTGTGCTATGTATAAGAGAAGTTCAAACAGTTGATTTTATATATTTGTTCCTATATTAATATATTCTGTATTTACTTCTGTGACTCATATTGACATTTTAATATTTTGTAGTAGTTTTGTTAACTGTTTACCATACTTTTCTTATGTTATGTAAATATATTATAACCGCCACGATAACCTGGCGATTAAACATGTATTTGTTTTTGCCAATAAAATATTTGACTTTGACTTGAATTTAACTAATACCAAAAAAAAATTCAATTTATGTTTTACTTTATTTCTTAATTTGCTTTGCATACCTTTCTGTTAAAGTGTCTCAGCTGATCTATGCAAGAAACTTATGTTTTATGCTTTTGGACCTCAGTGGAGTTCCTTTAATAAAGAATCTTGACTTTGGTTCATGTTTTATGCTTTTGGACCTCAGTGGAGTTCCTTTAATAAAGCATCTTGACTTTGGTTCATGTTTTATGCTTTTGGACCTCAGTGGAGTTCCTTTAATAAAGAATCTTGACTTTGGTTCATGTTTTATGCTTTTGGACCTCAGTGGAGTTCCTTTAATAAAGAATCTTGACTTTCGGTTCTAGTATTTGACTATGATATCTCATTATTGAGTTACTAAGTTACAATTAGACCATGTTTATGACGGCCGATTAACTTTGATAAGATTCGATGATTGCTAATCCATGCATGTCTTAAGTTACACTAATAATCCAATTTTAATTTTGAAAAAGAGATTGCCTATTATTTATTTATTCAAGTGCAACTGGATCACTTTTGATCACCTCATAGTTTGAACTTATTTTTAGACATACAATAAGACATGACGGAGTATCACGACCTAATGGATATAATATATAATTATTTTATGTATATATGTATATGGTATTTAAAAGTAGCAAAAATAGAAATCTTCTGCTTCACGAATCAAGACGATCATAAAAATGCTATCTTTTGAGCGCAAGACACTTGATTTGTATCACCTTAAACTAAAGTAATGTTACGCTAACTATGATGTATATCGTAGGTGTATATAAAACAATACCTATTGTATGTAAACAAATAGATTTACAAAATGACAAGCTTAAGTACATTGGCTAAAAATTATTCATATGGTATGAAACGTTTGTTTTGACGCTGACATTTATTTCTTTATGTGTTTTCAAAACTTGTAAACAATATTCTTAAGCATTTATAACATCATACTCTTTGTAATTATGTATAAACAGTGCAAGTTTCAAAAACTTTTGTTGATATTCACTTTTCGACTGGACGGTTACTTGGAAGAAATTACTCAAAATTGAAACATAGTTTTATATGGATTTAAATAAAGGTAATTTTTTTTTGTTGTTGATTAATTAATTAAAATTCTTTAATATATTACTAATTGAATGTAATAAGTTCATACATTGTTATGGCGTCGAATAATGGACATATTAGACTGTGAAAAAGCATTTACAAAACATTTATGACTTTAAAATAGCATTTACAAAATATTTATGACTCTGAAATAGCATCAACAAAATATGTATGACTCTGAAATAGCATTAAAGATATACTACACTAATCTTTTGAGTAAATAATTTTAATCGCAGAAATTTATTGAAATCTGTAAAATTCTTACTGAATATGTCTAATTTAAATAAAAATCGTATAAACAATGTATGAGAATCTGCGTTCCTTATTACGGGCCAAGTAAAGCTGGTCCTTTCTTTAAAATACTAGTTTTTTAATGACACTATATACTAGTATTCATATGGTGTCCTCTTAATGTGAAGGATTTAAAGCATAACATTTCTACTTTTGTGAAGTCAAAATATTATTTCATGTTTACAAAAAGACTGTGTAGCAAATATCAATATTTTCAAATATCACATTTGAGCATAGTATATCTTTAACGAATCATTTATAATTTAGTTTTGGAATCAACAAAAACATTTATCATTCTGAGATAGCACCAACGAAACATTTATAGTTAACAAAAGGTGTTAAAAAGTTTATAATTCCGAAATAGGATTAACAAAAAACATTGATAAATTATAAATAGTATTAACTTAACATTTATAATTTAAAAAAATATCGACAAAATATTTACAATTAACAAAATGAAATGTCACATCATATTATTTTTTTTATAATTTTTATTTATTTACTTTTGGTGCTTTTTTAATAAAAATTATATCCTGCATAAGCAAATATACTTACTTTCTTCTATTGATCAAAGTGAAAACTAAATATTCACGACCAAGTACTCAATAAATTATTAAATTTTTGAATCTAATTGAATTTTTATAAGATTTGATTTAAAATAGTCTAGTGCAATTTAATACAAATTTGATTAGCATGTCTAAAGCCTCTCTTTTATATTGCGTAGGTAACGTTTTTATTTTAAACAAGGTCACAGCTAGCGTAATTTAGCCAATTAAATCAATGAATCAATCAATATTTGGTTTATGAATGCTGATGCAATCACTTTTTATAATGTCATGTTTAACAACGGTTCCTATTTACAATGCTATAAGACCCTTTTTTTGGAAATGTTATTTCAAGCAATTCATTTAATAACATGACGGACAGTGAATAACTAACTAGTATACTATGTAAACAACCACCAAAATAAAGTTATCAAATTTTTTGTACATGCATATTTGGTAAGGAGAGGTTCATTGTATAAAAGATCGTGATTAATTATTATTCATAATTTTGAAACACATGTCTATATAGTAAAGATTTTACTTACTTTCTGACTGACTGACTGACGGACTGACTGACTTTCTGAAGAATAACTGATGTACATTTTTAGCACGGAAGCAGTGCTTTGAACTTTACCATTTACAGCCTGGGTGAAAATTCTTAATTTACTATATAAATGTGAAAATGAAAAAAAAAAAAATTTAATCAATTATTTGACACATTGTTGGTATGAAAACATGTATAAAAGTGACAAAAATGTTCCGTTTTTAGCATTAACAAAATTAATGTTTGACAGCCAAAATAGAACATTACAAATATCAATTTCATAAGTTTGAGAAAAATAGTGCATGCATTGCAGAACTCATTTTAGATAAAAGTCATTCTTGATTTCATTTAATGATCTCATTTCTTTTTGATACATGCATGTTTGTATTTTTTCATTGTCGAGAATCAAAAAGAGAGACCGATAATGTCACACCCGTTATGTCGCGTGATTACCGTCTGTTAAACGTTTTTGCAATTATTTTCTCGGCAAAAATATGCAATAAAACACTTATCTTAGTATTGAATTTCATATTACTGGTAATTATTGTTTCATCTGTTCAATATGTATGGATTGTTTTGAAATCAGAAGATTTTTTAGATTATATACACTTCTTTCCTATATTTTATCAACATTATGTTGATGCCTCTTATACAAACGGTTCAAATAGCATATGAATATATGTGAGCCGTGCCATGACAAAACAAACATAATGGCTTTGCGACCAGCATGGATCCAGACCAGCCTGCGCATCCGCGCAGTCTGATCAGGATCCATGCTGTTCACTATCAGTTTCTCTACTTGTAATAGGGTTTGAAAGGGAACATCATGGATATTATCAGACTGCGCGGATGCGCAGGCTGGTCTGGATCCATGCTGGTCGCAAAACCATTATGTTGGTTTTGTCATAACGGGGCTCGTGTATACAATTTATGCGCTAAGCGATGAAATTTTGAACCCGCATATGTCTATAATTTTAGCTGTCTAGTTTAAATAAAATGATGACTTGTCTAGTTAAACTGTTATACGCCTCCCCGCACACACAATTGCCAAACTTATCATATACATAGGTGAGCGCCCTTATGGCTGATATATTGCATTAATATTGCATTGTACGAAATGACGTAAAAAACTACATTTTAGATGTATACAGGTGTTTATTTCGGTACAGTGAATTACTATTTTTTACGCCTAAATATACGACGAAAGACATATTCAGTGGCAAAGTTAATGCTCAGGGTTCACTGAGATGAATTTATTCAAAAGGAAATGTTTTGTTCGTTTGTTTATTTCTTTGTTTGTTTGTTTTTTTTGTTTGAAAAACGTTTTGGCGACATTCCAGCTTTACTGATATAGGAAGACCTCAGATGCCCCTGCGCAAGCAGTCACTTGAGTATAATCACCGACGTTCTGTATGACAACTGGATAGCTTCATCTCACTTAAATTAAGGCCTCAACAGACGGTAGGATTTTGAAGTACAACACTAATTAGAAATAAGATGTACAATTTTCAAAGCAATACAACACTTGCATTCAGACGGTAATTCTGCATTGTAGGAATCATCTCAGGTTTCCCCTTAAAAAAGTTCCCTCTCAATCGATCCCTTACCTACTTTACTCACTAATTGTTTTCTCCATGAGTAATGATTGAAACACCTCAATTTTTTAAAAAAAAAAAAATGTTATTTTTTTTTTCATTTTAATGTGCAGCCTGACCGAGACTCAAACCTGGGACCCTCGGAATACCGTACTGCGGTCCTACTGACTGAGCTTTCCGGCCGCCTACAAACTACCACCCCTGATTAGAGAACAGTTCAATACCGTGACAGAATCATTTTCGGAACAATTTGGGATTCGAGCATACCACAACTTTGGGTCTCCTGAAGAGTTTTTCAACATTATTTCTATCCAATCTTTCTACTATGTTTACCTTTTAGCCTTAAGTCCTATCCCTTACATCTAGACTTAAGGTTTACGAAATCAAGAAATAGTAGCCTTAACACATTAAGATTTGCTTGTACATCCTAGTTTTAATTGGTGTTGTGCTTCAAAATCCTACCGTCTGTTGAGGCCTTAATTATAATTGTAACTGATTATGTGAACATAATGTAGAATTATAAATTAATAACGTTGACCTGAAAAAATACAACAACAAAACAACAACAACGACAACAAAAGTGACAGCATTGGCATTGAGTCGTGTTGTTGTTTTTTCAGTCGCTTGACATTTTCCAAGGTGTAAAAATGATGTATTTGTTATTCAAAGACAAGTTTAGCTGAAGTTTTTATACTATAGATATACCTATTATACATAATAGATAATAGTATGTTTGTGATATAAAGGTTAGCAAATTCATATTTTCAAACGATTAATTTATTAATTTCTTGACCGATGTTTGCGTCTTTATTAATTTTTTGACCGATGTACTTTGAAATGCATTGATAAATTTGCAGGTCTAGGGGGCACCCCTTTTCAGTGATAAGTTTAAAAACATTTTAAGCGTTTAGTTTTTTTTAAAGATTAGATGTAATTATATCTAGTTACACAAAAACATAATTTATTATTTTTAGATATTTTGCAGTGTGAATGTTTATTTATTTAAGTGTTAGGCTGGCTATAAAAGGCTTCACTTTGTTTCCAGATTTTTTTACTTTCGGTTTCAGGTAATTTCATCTTCTTTTTTTTTTGGAAACAGAATAACAAAATTACGCATAGCAGTGTTTAGGTGCAGATTTAATCTCTCACCTTTTTTATCATGTCATTTCATGGATTTCTGCTGATAAAGTGCATGCCTGATAATCTTTTATTTATCAGTCACCCTAAGCTTTATCAGACGCCTCATCAATACATATTGGAAGAAATGAGGAGAATGAAATATTTGTATGTGAGAAGTTAGCAGTTAACAGTGAGCTAAGCAAAAAGGCATTACGATTTATATAGGGAAATCAATAATCTGCTGTTATGCTCAGCTGGGTAAGCAATCTAGCAGAGCATTCCAAAATAAAGTGTAGAATGCTTTGCTGGTATGCTCAGCTGGGTAAGCAATCTAGCAGGCCATTACTAAATATAGTGTAAAAATGCTCTGCTGGTATGCTCAGCTGGCTAGGCAATCTAGCGGGGCGTTCCAAAATATAGCGTAAAAATACTCTGCTGGTATGCTCAGCTGGCTAGGCAATCTAGCAGGGCATTCCTAAATATAGTGTGAAAAATACTCTGCCGTTATACTCAGCTGGCTAAGCAATCTAGCGGGGCATTCCAAAATAAAGTGTAAAAATGCTCTGCTGTTATGCTCAGCTGGCTAAGCAATCTAGCGGGGCATTCCAAAATATAGTGTAAACATGATCTGCTGGTATGCTCAGCTGGCTAGGCAATCTAGCAGGGCATTCCTAAATATAGTGTAAAAATGCTTAGCTGTTATGCTCAGCTGGCTAAGCAATCTAGCGGGACATTCCAAAATATAGTGTAAAAATGCTCTGCTGGATTGCTCAGCTGGCTAGGCAATCTAGAAGGGCATTCCTAAACATAGTGTTTAAAATGCTCAGCTGGCTAGGCTGGTCTGCAACTGATTATTTGGCACTCGTAGACTTTCTGAAAT